CAGACAGACAGACAGACAGAGACAGAGAGACAGAGAGAGAGGGAGAGAGAGAGACAGAGAGAGAGACAGAGAGAGAGAAACAGAGAGAGTGTGTTGTCATTGTTCGTTACACACACCTCCACAGAAGAATAAAAAAGCTAGACTGTGCCAGACTGTTTCATTGGACTTTCACTGACTCATCATGAGGTTGAGCAGCAACAGTCTGCCCAGAATGTGTGTCTATGTGTGTGTGTGCTGTCATGTATGCTATTCACAATCCCCTACCCCCGCCCTCCCTCCGAAAAAAAAGCACATGACTGAGCTCTGTTTCGTCGGACTTTCACCGACTCATCAGGCGGTTGAACCCCGACAGTCGGCAAGGAATCGATATGACTGATCGATAAGGACTCATCATGTCCCCCAGAGTCAGTGATACCCTGAGAATTTGAATAGTCTCCCAGGGGTCGGCTTTACTCACCTGCCAACTGTGCAATCCTAGAACACTGTCGGTCCAAACTCCTGACCAGAATGGCAGTGACTGTCACAGAAATGGCGTTTGACAGGGGGTCAAAGCAGGTCCATTTTGAGAGTCTTGCTGGTATGTCAGAGACTTGTTGCAGGTCTGTATGTGGGAGAAGAAGAAGAAGACGAAGAAGAAGAAGAGGAGGAGGAGGAAGAAGAAGAAGAAGAAGAAGAAGAAGAAGAAGAAGAAGAAGAAGAAGAAGAAGAAGAAGAAGATGGGTGGTGGGAGATGGCTGGCAGGGGTCGCCCTATGCGAGGTTGGGAGATATGGCCGCCATGGGGGAAGGTCGAAAATGCAGACCCACGCACGCCTGCAGAAGACAACGAGTGAAAAGAAAATTTGAATATGGTGGTCCAGGATGGCGGGCAAGAAACGGTGACCAAGAAGAAGAAGAAGAAGAAGAAGAAGAAGAAGGGCGGTGAAGGATGAAGGGCAGGGGGGCACAAAACGTGGGTGAAGAGGAAGAAGAAGAAGAGAGTGCGAGGAATGAGCCCCCACGGGGCCCTTATCAGACATGCAAGTGTTCTGGGCTGTGGCCCCCAGCAAGCCTCGTGGGCGACCTAAGTGAAGGCGGGCCTGAATATCCACGAGAGGCCTCTTTTCAACATTTTCCATATGTGGGTATCAGACAGTTGCAGCACACCAGTTGGTTACGAACCAACGTGGGCCTTTCCTGGCTCCCCTCAGAAGCAACAGCTGCGCTGCACAGTTGATCCCAGGGCCTCGGTTGGTTGCGCCCTGGGCACACACAGTGGGAGGCCGACACATGGGGCGAAGTCCCACTAGCAAAGAGGATTAGATTAAGAGTCTGCATCAAGACGTATTTTATGCAGAGATGCAGAAAAGCAGATCAATTGTGATTTTCTGTACCTCTCCACAAAGACATCCACGTTCAGGCGTTAAATACAATCCACTTTGCGAGTCGAACCTTGCCCCAGGTGAATGAAAACCCATCAAGGAAACCTAACTCAAGAAAAACCACATCACCTTTCCTCATCATCTCTGTTCCTCTCTGCGATTTTCTATACCTCTCCACAAAGACATCCATGTTCACAATCAACAATGAAAAAGTCGTCAAAGACTGGTCTTTCTTTCTTATTCGCTTCTTCATCCAACCATAAGTTTTTTTTTTGTTTGTTCGTTTTTTTTAACAATGAAACAACTTATCCGTAAGAACTGCTGTCAGAATGTGTGTTTTTTTCCAAATAAAAAGGAGAACGTCTTGAGATATCATCATTGAACTGATCGGCCCCAGGCAATTCACAATGATTTTATTCTCCTCATCTGAAGGTATATGGATTCAAACTTGAGTCTGTATTCCAACACAATATATATTGTCACAAAGTTATCAGAGCACAAAAGCGAAAAGAAAACAGAAAGAAGACAAAGAAAACTAAATTCATTTTTTTTATCTTCTTCCTTATGTAATGAACCCAAGTCGATACTTGTTGATAATGCAAGTCCACAAATCGTCAACCAGCTGATGAGATATCCATGGCGAAATCGTTACCAGATACAAAGAGATGGATAACATACACAGATGAATAAGCAAGAGATAGGGAAGATAGACTTAGAGGGTGGAGAAGAATACTGCGCCCACTTCCTCTTCGGGCTTCCCTCCCAATATCGCCACCTCAGCAACAATGATTGGAACGATATCTGAAGTTCTTCTCAAAGTGCCACGTGGCACATCAATAGTCCATCATCAGCGCTGGAGCATCATCAACATTAAGATAAACAGGTACGTATCTCTGATCCTTCCACAGTCGTGATCMCCTCCTGAGTACGATGAATCAGACAGCTGTATCTCTCCAATGTAGCCGCCACATCAGCATGAAACACACGTGGCAGCAGCCACGTCAGCAGCGACGCGTGGCAGCTGCCACGTCAGCAGACCAAATAGACAAGAGCAAGCCAGCCAGCATGTCTGGCAAGCAGCGCGTCGCCGTATCTCACAAGTGCCAGCCAGAAGCCAGCGTAGCGTCTCAGCGTAGAGCCAGCGTCGTCGTCGAAGTAGCAAGTCAGCATTGACGCGACTGAATATTCCTCAATGCTGGGAAGTCAGCCTTATGTATTGTTGACGTGGGGACTAGGCCCCGGGTGCTGCCTCCCTCAGTCGTCCAGATCTCAATGTGGACGAGGACTCAGATTATTCCGGAACCGAATCTTCTCCGGCCCTGAATGCTGTCTTGGTACCTGCACACCACAAGTGAGTGTATCCAGCCAAGGGCCTGGGCTTGGTACCTTTGACTCTACAGTTAGACTTTGACCTTTGAATTTCCATCTGCAGCGTTCGGTCTCACAGCCGGACGCAGCAGTCTGTGGCCTGGGCAGTGCCTGGTCACACAGCCCAACGCAGAACAGTAAGTTCTGCATGGCCTGGGGCGGGTCTGGGCCCCGTACAGACTTTCATGCACACGAATTACTGCACTTACAACTCCCCCTGTTCAGAACCTCTTCATACAAGGCCGCCCACGTGTGCATATATTGTCACAGAACTATTGACTAAGAGCATGAGCACGTGAAGTAGAAGAAGAAATAAGATGAGCAAAGAAAAGAAAAA